CTGGAGAGGATGAGGGGGTGGGTGAATCATTCCCACCCCTGTTCATCCCTGGCTACGACGACCTAGCTCCAATTTACTCGAATTCTCCGCAAGCCAAACTCCCATACCACGGGGTCCTCTCCCTCATCCTCATTCTCTCTCACTCTCTCTCTATCATCATCATCACCTCGAGCCACCCCCCCCCCCCATCCCACCCCGCGCAATGCAAAATTCGCCTATTCGAAACGGGAGAATTTTGCTAACCATATACATCCCTTGCCAGATATTTGTGAATCAATTTCGGGGTGGAATTTGCTGTATTGTGAGTTGTTGATTTTTTATAAATATTTTATCGTGAAAATATAAAATTCGAGGGGGGGGGGCGGGGGGAGAGGTAGTTGGGATTCGCTTCTGGTACCGCAAACATGCATAATGCAGCCACTCGGTGCGTGTAAACATGTAAACGTCGAAGGGCAGATGGAGAGGGGGACATAGATCTGCCTCTGCCAACCGCTAAATACAAAAATCCCTGGTCTCATCCCGTTCTCATCCCGATCCCAACCACCTGTACCACTGACGCCTCGACATGCCACTCGCTTTCCTATGTTGCTGGGTTAATTACAGCATAATTGTGGTGGACATTTTGTTGTTCGCTCTGATTCACTGACACTTGTAAACTGCTTTTATTAACTTTACACCTGCGCTTTTTACCGGTTGTCAAATATTTTTTTATTAAAAAATTTCTTTTTATTACGAATGCGCCAAGAACTCTTACATTTCTGTGTTTTATATTTAAATTCAGTAATAATTCTGATAAATTACCGCCCAAGAATTATTTCCAGATGATTAAAATGAGGATGTTGTTTTATATAATGACGTGAGTGGCAATTATTTAAAATTTGATTTTTAAATTGTTTATAAATCTTGAATTTTTTTGAATGTCTTTTTGCCGATCAGTCCTGCGGCATTAATAATATCTTGAAGATCTGTTATTGATATCGCAATTAAACATAACGGAATGGCCCTCATGTTGATTAATGAAAATCAACTAAACCGGTATTAAATTCCGAAAATGATGGAATGTAATAGTTCGGCGAATGTATTGTGCACAATATCTAGTTTCCCTCGGTATAATACCGCTCACAATGCATCACATCGTAATAAATAATAATGGAGGCATGCTATTATAATGGATAGATGCAATTAATGAAGAGCAATTATCGAATTTTATATTATATCGACGGAAACAAGAACGGCGAACAGTCTCCGAGGAATTTCGCGCGTCTTACACTCAGAGATAAATCAACTTATATTAATCATAATAATTAATCATTATTAAAAATTTTGGGAAACGATTGAAATTTTATGTGCAACTTTCATTTTATTGCGAGAATTTTTTTTTCCTCCGCAATTGTTAATCGCAAAATGGAGATAATTTTTTATATGAATTTAATGATTGATTAATTGATATGAATAATTAAGATGTTTATTTTTTCAATTTGTTTATTAATCCAAAAAAATCCATAGAAATAATTTCTCGAAATTTTTGATGGATTTCTCTAACCCTCGGTGAAAAATATAAATAATGCCTCATCCGTACGTAATTTTTTCCAATTACCGAAGTGACAGAATAAAAATTAAAACTATGCGGAGCACTTGGTAATTACACAGCAAAAAAAAAAATGCGTAATTCCATAGAATATTGCTGTGAGCTCGTGGAAGACCAATTTCTGAGTGAAATTTTTAGCTCTCGCAGTATGTGCAATCGATTTCGAGTGATCGGGATGCGCGCGAGCGAATGTATTAAGCAAAAGGGTTGATAGAAGGGAGTAAATAGTTGGGCAGAGGGAGTGACTTGGTAAAAGGGGTTCTGCGGCCACAGAGAGGCTGACATACACACATACATTTACGAATATATATACCCCATACTTTTGTTATATCTATATATGCACGTACCCGCCCGTATAGAACACAATTAAGTAAATGAGCACGGGTTGCAGCCACTCAGCTATAGATACGCTCTATTATGTGTATTGATCTCTAGTGCGGACTTCGCTTATACGTAATACGTGTTTTGTCGTATGTACATTCGTAACACATCGGCTGAATCAATTCCATATATCTTGATTGAAATTTTTATCCCCTATCTTTATCTTTCCTCTCAATACGAAAATTTAACATAGAGCGTTACGTATTTATTGAATAAATCTTGGTGTACATCGACCAGTCGTCGAATTACCTTAACATTAAAATATTATAATGATTTGACGGTGGAAATATACAGCACGTAACAAATTTCTAATTCTCACGTGTTTGTCAATGCGGTTTTGCCAATGTATATATACGCATGAATAATATGCAGCAATTGACGTGCGACTGTTACGGGGACGATACAAATGGTTATGTAATTTATTTTAAATAATAGTTTTGGTTGGTGATTCGGGGACTGGGGGGAGATGGAATTTAAATTGCTGGGAGTGGAATTGATAGTTTCAGGGGACATTTTTCCGGGCAAAATAATGAAATGATCGTCTCAGATCGGGTGGGTAAATCGTTTTATCTAGATTTCTCAGGATTGTTGTTTTTTTTTTTTCTCTTTTTTTCGTCTCTCCGTCAATTCAGCGCGGAACAATGCCGGTAATCACATGATTTATTTAAAATAATACAGCTCAGGTCTTACGCTTGAATTTATATTACTCTTAACATCTCAGAGATAGCAATGAGATTGGCATCAACTCGTTTCCTGCTGTTGGCGGATTTCATAGGTGTACGCAATCCAACAAAACCTGATGAGCTATTTTTCTCTGTACCCCATGGCTTTTAATGAGTTAACGAATTCTTTGCCTCGTAAATAATTAGAGAAAACATTTTTATTGACGTGGGTTACTCGCGTGTCGCTTCCTGTCATTTTTCTTTTTTCTTCCCCACCACGTCTTTTTTTTTTCTCTTCGTATTTCACTCCTACCTCTCTCACTCTCCCTCTCACTATTCAACATTTATTTTTCTTTTCTCTTCTTATGAATAATGCAATGAAATAAAGACGCTCGGGCGGAAATTCACGGATAGACAGTTATGAATAACACGGTATTAGCAATTCGGTGGAATGAAAAAGTTTGAAAATTTAATTGAAAATTTATCAATTAATAAATTTGCATGGGAACTATCTGAATTTTAGTTTTGTTCGGGTATTTAAGGGTGGAATTATGAATTATTTAGGAATACTCGTGGTGGAGGAATATTTGAATTTTAAAATGAGGAAAATGGAAAATTTATCGGTTTGTCATTTGCATGGAAATGAATTAGTTTGGGGGTGGTGAGGCGGTGGGGGTGGAAGTGGCGGCTGAGGAGGGGTTGGGGGGAAGGGGATGGTTAAAATAATAGATAACGATTGTGTTTAGGTGTCTTGATGCTATAACAGGGAGAAAGAAGGAAACCGGAAGTGGCGTCAAGGCATCGGCGTAACGTTATTTTCCGATCTTCCATTCACAGGGGCCCGCCCCGTTTAGTTTCGATTTGCCGCTTCGTTACGAGTACCGAGATTTACACGATGAGATAGGATTGTTACGCAGACCGTCCAGACACTCTGTCTTTATTCTCCATCTTCCTCACCCTCACCACCTCTTTCTATCTGGGTTATAGTTGTCTTTCCTCGGGGTTGAGGCTCTCCCTTTTTACACCGGACTATCTTCATCTCCTCTTTGTTCTACTGTCTCCCGACAAATCAAATATTGAGAGATTGTGATTATTAATCGGCGATAATAGTTCTTCGAATTTATCCGAGATTATCGGTATTTTTATTGTTATATTGTAATAATAATTGGAATTTCGCAGGATAATTTAATTTTTGGATAGTTTTTCTCGGGAATCAAGTGGAAAACGGAAAATTTTTATTGAAAACGAAATTTAGTTTTAGATTCTCTTAAATATTTGAATTTGTTATTTAATAATAAATATTCTTATCAAATGGAAAATCGAATTTTCCAACTGTGAAAGTCAGGGAAATTCACGGGGTAAGTTAATATGAGGAAAATTCTTAAAAAGTAAAACTGGATCTTGACGATTTTTTGAAGACCAGAACGTATCAACGGTGTATTATCATTCCCACCCCTGATGGAGTCGAATAATTTTTTCCTCCGTTTTGAATACTAAAATACGAAAATAAAACGGTATTTTTTTTTTGTTCGCCCCACGGTCCATGGAAACCCAATAATGTCGTTTACAGCCGTCGTTGGGGCGTGGGAAATAGCCGGAATAGTAAAAAAAAAATGGATAAAGAATCGGAAAAGAGAGTATCTCGTATAAATGCGCTCACGCTTGCACTCGTATTCCATTGGCCCTTGCAGATGCAAAAGCAAAGCGCAAACTATCGGTTCGAGAACTCCAAACTACCCACCAAAGAAAATGAGAAAAGATTTTTATATCATTTTCCACTTTTTTTTTTAACTTTTTTCACCTCTTCGGATAGGTCTGATTATTTTTCCTCCACTTGCCGATCGCTTCTCACTTTTACATTCACTCGAGATGAAGAGTATTTTCTCTCAGCGTTGGGAAAGTATGCGATGAATTTAGCGAAGAATAAACCTTGCCAATAATGAGTTCTCGGTAAATTCATCCAGTGGTGTATGACGGGTTGTGGAGATGATAAACCGAGGGTTGCAACTCCTTTCATTTCGTTCTTCCATTTCCCGAAACTCTTCGGGATATCTACCGTCTTATGCAGAAACGACGGCAGCAATAAAATATAATGAAATAACATCCAATCCGGGGAGAGATATTGTGGAAATATTATTACTAACTTATTTCTGGGGGTGAGTTCGCATTCAGGATTGATTTTAGCAGTTATTCCAGGGGTGGATTCTTCCTGGGAAGTCCTCATTTCTCCCTTCTTTTTTATTACAGACGATTTCAGGGGAAATTAATTATGATTTTCGGTCTAATGATCGCGATAAATTTTCCAGGGATGTATTGACATTTTTTTAATGATTAATTTGTTGATGGAGTTTTCTTTTTTATTGTTTTAGTGGCCTGGTGGGGTCTGTCGTGTTTTGGATGGACTACTGTCCTGGTGGTCGGTTTTTCTGGCGATCATGGAGATGAGGACGTGTGGAAGTCGGTGAAGTCATGAGTGATTGAGGGACGGAGGTGAGGGAATTCTTTGATATTTTTGCAATTTTTTAGAGTTGAATAGAAATTATGATTTTTATTGACGAGATGAATTATTCTCATTCGTCATTGACAAAAATAATTACTTTTTATAACTTCTGGGTAATTTAAATTAATTTGGTGTGAGTATTTTTAATCGTTAGTGATTTTTCCAATTTTAACGATTCAAGAGATTAAATTGGAAACAACTTTTTTGGATATTCAAATTTCACTCTGTTAACAGAATGTAATTTATTTTCAGGCTTGTGTTTCGTGGATGGGGAGAAAGTTCACTGGACTGGCGGATAAAATGACGGAACAGCGCACCTTGCAGGTAAATTTTACATCTTCCTGAATATTTTTTTTCTCATACATTCGTTTGATGGAGTGCGGAACAGAGTGGAAAAGTTGGATAGATTGATTCAGAGGGTTGAAAATAACTTTTCGGTGGGGGTTGAAAATTTTTCAACTAAAATTGCGATAGAAAAACTGATGGAATATTACTAGAGACTAAAATGGGAATTCACTAAATTGAGAATTTAAATTTTTCGTGAATCATCAATTTTTCCTTTTTCCATTGTGTCTTATATTATGTAGTCCCTATGATTCATAACGTGACCTCAAGTGTTTATTATATGTACACACATATGGTGCATTGTTGGTACTTCAACAATGGCGTCTAGGCGAGGACTTATTAATACAAACTCGGTGTGACTAATACAACAATTTGTCGGTCGTTTCTCGTGTGTGGATAAAGGGGAGTAGGGGATAGGGGAAATGTTGGGATGGGCTGAGTCTCTTGGATCGGGATTTAAATAGTTATGACCTACTCGCGGCCCATATACTGAGGAGTGACGGTACCATTTCGTCACGCGTTAAGTCGTGCGAATTAAATTTGCCTCGGTTAGTGAATTCCCTCAAACGCCCACGAAATGTGCGATACATTAATTTATTCGTTTCAATATATATATTGAATTTAATTGAGTTGATGGATTGCCTCACATCTCGAGGGCTTTCTCAAAGCACCGGCGTCCTTGTAAATTATCATCGCGAACTTAACAGCGGACTTATAAATTTAAATAAGTCAAACAGAAAATTTTTAATTAACGATAATTTTTGTTCTCTCAAAATTCTAGACAAAAGACTTTCCTTTTTGCGGCTTTTTGCCTTTGTTGCAAAATCGTTGATTAATTTTAATCTGTTGATAATTAACTTTGATTGTACAACTGGTGCATTAATTTTTCTTGTACTTTAGTCGCGATTAGATGAGAAATTCAATCAAGCCTCTCTCTCATATAAAGCCCCAGTGTCCGAGATAGACGTGTGACGCGTTATATGGGGGTTTAGACCAGCAGACTGTACTAACTGTAATCAGAGCTTGGGCGTTCTAGCGTGTTTCTCGGATATAGGCTTGCAAGTTGAAGGGGGTGGATATATATCCCCCTCTGCCTTCTCCCTCCCCCTTTTCACCCCCCCACAAAACGCCAGATACCATGGGGTTGGGTGTCGAAGCTAACGACGATGGAAGGGGGTCTTTTCCGAGTTGTGCCAAGAGCACAGTGTCCTCTCGTTCCATGTCCTGATTCACTGGTCACATCAGAGGGATTTCGCCTCCCCGGGGGTGGGTGGAAGACAGAGGGAAAATGAGGGGGAGACGTGGAAGGTGTACACCCTGGATACATCATCCTAACCCTCAAATCGTTCAATTCCCCTCCTTCTCGGACCTCTTCACTCGTCTAGTTTCTGGCCACCGCATTTACCCCACAGGGCCACCCTTCGACGGATCCTTGTACACCCACCCTTTTCCAACCCCCTGTGCACGTTAATCCTCTTAAGTGTTAAGTGGCGCGCCTAAATATCAATCACGACCACCTATATCAAACCCCTCTGACTCATCCCTACCTCTTCACCTATCACGAAATTGTCGGGATGGACGCGGTGGAGCTTGATGGTCATGAGACACCGGTCAATCTCGTTTTGTGGGGATAAATAGTGTTGTCTATTGATCAGTCGTTTTGGTTACCCATTGAAACAATATAACTCGAAATATTACCGCAAAAAATTACAACAAAAAGTATTGCAACTGAAAAATTATTTATGTCATAATTGTTTCATTTGTTATATTTTTTTAAATAATATAATGATAGCGTAATATCTCGGGTTGCAATATTTTCCGAGCTGATATTTTCGCGGAGTCATATATTTACATTATAATATTTTTTTGAATATTCTCAGGGGTGATATTATTATTGAATATATTGAAGAACATGGAGGGCAGCATTTTGAACTCCATCTAGAATAGTTTAGGGTAATTTTCCAATTAATTTTTAATTAATCTTTTTCTTTCAAATACATTTTTAATATCTACAGAATAAAAATCCCCGATTGAAAAAAAATTTCCAGCAATTTCTAAAGAGGATTAAACCAATCAAATCAAATGCAGCCCCAAAAATCCAAATTGCCCGCCACCGACAAGCCAAAATCAAGCTCTAAAAATGTAGAAATGGTAAAACCACCCCTTAACCACCCCCCGAATCGTAACAAAATGTCAATTAACCGCCTTCTAGCCTCTCTGATTGCCACTATCGAAAAGTCAATTTAGTTTGTCGTCCAAAGTCAAGTAACATAATCGCCCACAGCCGATGGCTCGATAAAGCGATTCCAAAAGCCGAGGGGGGAGACAAAAGGAGGGGTTGGAGAATCTACCCCGGTAGAGTGAAGGTTGAGTGTTAGATTGGGTGACAGAGGGTAGACTCTCGTCGTTAGTAAGGAGCCAAGAGGCTGTGAGGGTTTATAACCTCCCATCCCCTCATCCGTACACATACGCGTACCCTAGAGAAGGGGGAGGGGGGGGGGCTGAGTTTGGGAGGGTGAGAGGGGGTGGTTCGTTGCATTAGCCCCCGCTACTGGTATCGACATGGGCCCGTACGCCTTGTACTTGGCTTTCTGTTTAACTGCGGTATACACAAGGCAAGTCTCTTCCCCCTTTTGCATTGCCAACACAAGAATGGGGTGGTTGGGGGGTTGGGTTGGGGGGGGGTTGTATGCGAAACAGTTATATGGAGGGCCAGAGGTAAACTGGAGTGAGAAACACATCGGTGCAGCCGCCACTGCACCGCGAAGCGGGTACGTATTGTCGTCGGTTACAAATCAAATACCCGATATCATTGTTCGTCATGGCCTACCGGTTCCAAGTGGGGGGGTGGGTGGTAGG